CAGGAATTCAGATGGTCGAAGCCCAGACCTGCTCACCCGCAGCGGAAGCCACTGCAGCCCAACTGGCAGGAAGGCCGACTACGACGACGCTGGGTCTCTGAGCAACTGCTGGGGGCCACCGTCTGGGGGCCACGCTCGCCACGGGTTTTCCCTTCACAAACCCCACCAGGTGGTCCTGGGGAAGACCTACCTGAGAAGGCCCCCTAGTGTCCCTGGCAGGTGGAGGGGGAGAGTAACGCTGGTGACACACACCAGGGCTTTCTCCATCCCCTCCTTTTCCGTACCATTGTCTAGTGGGTTTCCTGCAGGGTGGCAGCAGGGCCGGGGGCTCCATCACTCAGGCCCCGTCCCCTCGGCCACCCCCAGGCTGCCGTGTCCTCCATCGGGGGGCACACAGGTCTGATGTTCCCTTTTTTAGGAGCCAACCGCTGCAGGAGTGGTGCAGTGGTGATATTCTATAAAAATATCTTGGAATGCTTCCATAAAAAAGGCTCCCTTGCATCCTATTTGGCAAACAGCACGACAGAAAGGGAGGAAAAATGCTAATTCTTCCTCTTCACCTGCCTGTCCACCTCTGGCATGTGGGGCCCTCGCCAAGTTTTACTCCTTAATTTGTCCCCAGAACAGGTCTCAGGTTCGGTGTTACTCTGTCCATCTGAGGCCTTCAATGAAGTCTTGACACCAGTGCCTAAGAAAACTAGACGATACTGTCAGGGCAGAGGCTGTAATACACGTTCTAAAGTTTCACCACTTTTATCAACAAAGGATAAGAGTGCTGGGTTTGGGGCAGGATGGTCTGCGCAAAGCTCTCTGTTGTCGGCCTGTCCCCAGAGCCCAGGGCCCCTCTGTCTCCTGGTTAGTACCTTCAGCTGAGGGACTGGACGGGTGCTGAGACCTTTCTCAGGTAGTAACCGCTCCCCCACCCAGTCTCTCAGCCAGCTCTGGATTCTTCAGGAAAATGTCCGTCTCTCCTTTTTCAATCACAAATGTTCTGTCCTCGGCTCCTTCTTCTCCTCAATCCTATAGGCCTGAGGCTGGAGTCTTCAGACAACACCTGACGTGGCATTCTCTGCAACCAAGACATCAAGACCAGCTTTGGGTGTCTTAGGGAGTTCCAGCATCATGTCATAGAGGCCTTCTTTTTCTCTAGACACAGCTTTGTTCTTTTCCAGTTTAGCCAGAGACATTGGGGAAGATGCACAGAGCAGAAAGCAGATGTCAAACTTACCTTCTCTCCCTGGAGTCACCTTTAAATGTCTTGGGTTTCTCCTTCAAGGTTCTAGATGGAGTCCCCTCTCCAGTGAGCTAGGGGTCCGGGGTGGCTATCAGCGCAGAGGCCGAGCACAGAAGAGCTTCTCAGCTGTCACAGTGATGCTGTGTGACACTGTGTGACGCTGTGTGACCGGGGTCCCTTCAGACCTGAAGACCTCACATGGTGTCAGCATAGTCTGTCCCAGGCTCTCAGAGCAGGAGTGGCTTCTCGGCCAGAAAGTTTGCAGGGCACTCCTGTCCCTTTTTACCCTTGGTGACAGAGGCTGCAGACACTGATAGTGGCTTGGGACACAGCGGGGCCTGGCCAGCTGCTGCCTGAGGCCGCCTTCCCTTCCCTGAGCGTCTGCATCTGATGCCCAGCTGAGCTGCAAACACGAAGGCTCGTTGTGTGTGTTTGTGTGCGTTCAGGCTGGAGTGAGAGCAAGGCACTGAGACTGCAAGTCAGCGGGCTCCACGGACTGAGAGGAAAGGTCATTCTGCCCAAGTCATCCACGTGAGCGAACAGCTGGTCACTCCGCTAGTCACTCGTGTAAACGCCTCCATGGTGCTGTGTGGCCCAGCACCAAGTTTGACCCTGGCTTCCACCCTGAGAATTACGTCCGGGTTTCACATCGTCTTATCGGTCAACCTCCTCCCGCCTTTCAGAGTAGGACTGCGCAACCGAACCCTGTTTCCCTGTGACGGGAGACCGTGGTTTCAGAGCGTGGGGGCGGTAGGTTTCTGCAGCTGGTTCTTACAGTAGGGCTCATCCTGCTACGTAGACAGAGCGGGGGGTGCTGGCTGGGCAGGGAGGTGGTCTCCAAGTGCTTCACCTTCGTGCCCGCCACCGACGCAGGGGCCTGGGAGGGCGGGGGCAGCTCGCCTCCGTCCCTCCCTCCACCCGAGGTGTTAGGTGCGTGGATGTCCATCCGGGTCTGGAGAATGGCAACGCTTGTCACGCTCAGGGAGTGAAATACTGTAACCACCGTAACACCTGGGCTCCAGGGCAAAGCTGGGTCTGACTTTCTGATTGAAGGGAGGGGAAAACCCCCCTGCCCCTGGCTCTGCACCCACCCATCCTTCCTCACGCTCATCTCTGGCTGGTCAGTGTGGCCCCTGACCTTCCTTGGGAGGGCAGGTGTCCCCCTGCTGCACCCACCATCAAGGAAGAGGAGTCCTATGGGTCAAGGGGTGTGGCAAAAGCCACCCCACGATGGAGCCTGGGTTACACCCACACACTAGCACCCACAGCGCCCCCTTCCCTCCCTAGCGGGCCCAGCGGACCTCCAGGACCCAGAGCCGCGCCCTCGCCCCTCCTCATAGCCACAAGGTCATGACCTGGCTGAGAGGAAAGGTGGGTAGCGTTTCTCAAGTAGTGTACCTGAGGGAAATATTCCCAAGACAGAACACAGAGTGCTGTGGTGGGGGACATTTCTGAAGGTTGCTTTAGTTTGAAATTAGACGGTGCTTTCTGGAATGGGGAAGGCAGGCTTGGGGCATGGATTTCTCTGTCCCCCGTGGTCATCTTTGAATTTCAGGTCACGGGTGGTCCTTTGAGGAGAAGGCACAGCTCTCCACACACCCCTACTTCTCTCTAATGGCACCAAACTAACTGCTGTACAAAAAATCCATAAACCTTTGTCAGGCTTTGAGGATTGTTCTCACCATCCCATATGGTGAAAGGGACTCAAGGTATACGAGGTCTGACAATTAATTTCCTGATCTAGAAAAAGTGCTACATCCCTCATTGCTGAATATCACTACAGTCACCTTCGAAGTACTCCCCTTGGGAAGCTATGCACCGACGCCAGCGCCTAGTCCACCCTTCAAAGCAATTTTGGAACTCTTTTTTCTGGAATGGCCATCAAAGCTGTCGTCATATTACCCTTGATGTCCTGAATGTCATCAAAACATCTTCCTTTCAATATTTCCTTTATCTTTGGGTTAAGAAAGAAGTCATTGGGGGCCAGTTCGGGTGAGTAGGGAGGGTGTTCTAATACAGTTATTTGTTCACTGAGTAAAACTCCCTCCCAGACAGTGCTGTGTGAGGTGGTGCATTGTCGTGATGCAAGAGCCATGAATTGTTGGCAAAAAGTTCAGGTCATCTAACTTTTCATGCAGCCTTTTCAGCACTTCCAAATAGTAACCGTGGTTAACTGTCCAGTTGGTACAAATTCATAATGAATAATCCTTCTGACACCAAAAAAAGGTTAGCAACATCATTGCAACTAGTTCTGAACTTGTCAGACCTCCTAAGTCAGGTTCTACACACAAATGTAAGTCTCTAATTGCCCTTCCCAAACCCAGAGAATGTGCAGTGGATGCCCTTTTACTTTCTGCCAAAGAAAAACTGAAATAGAATAACTTCTATGGATTCAGGAAAATTCCCGAGACTTAGTGTGAACTCTCTCTTGCACGCCGCCCCACATCCACTCACCGAGGGCGCGGACCCCTCCTCGGGACGAATTTTGCTGGAATTTGTTTCCTCCGTCGCATTTGCACCATTTTAATCCTGATGGTTAAAATTCTAGTTCAGATTCTAATATCTAAAACTTATAACCTTATAATTTCTTGACACATTCCCAGCAGCCTCTTCCACTGAATGGAGCTTGGATCAAATTTCTGAGGAAGATTTAACCTGTTAACTAAGCTTTGCCTGAAACATGGACAGAGAGCTGCTGGCAGACGCTCTGAAGCCCAAGATTCAAGTAGTTGCTTCCAAAGGAATGAAGTCCTGGGTGGGTGGTGGACACAGGCCAGCAGCTCAGACCCCCTTCCGGGCCGAGGCGCCACAGCAGAGACCCCTGGGGTCACGCCTCAGCCCAAAGGACACTGCTAGGCCAAGGTCACCTCCTTCCGGGAACAGCCCACATCCAGTGGCCTCTGTGCAGGGGGTGTGAAGACCCAGCCACTTCCCTCAAATGGACAGTCTGAGAGGCCATCTCAGCGGAGGCCTCTTCTGTTCTATGCATGTCACAGCCAACTCCCTCTTCCCTGTCCTGTATCCAGACATCGCTGACCTGGCTGATCTCCCCTCCACACACACAACACACACATATATACACCCACACACACACACACACACACACACACACACACTCACACACACTCGCACTCACACACACGCATACAGACATTTCTTCCCGTCTGTGGGGGACTAACCCCAGGTGGCTCCTGGCAAAGATGCCCGATTTCTGCTGGCTGTTGTGGCTTTCACCTTTTCAGTATGTTTTTCCTACTTTCGAAGGGGACCCCATCCCAGCCCTGAGCCCCCGTCCCAGGTACCTCTCGGAGCCACCTGCAGGGACCACCAGGCCCTCCAAGAAGAGGAGAAGCACAGACTTCCCAAAAGTGCCTAATAAGGGCCTTCGTCTGATTTATTTTCTGCAAAGAATCTGAGCGAGAAAATCATTTCCCCCCTCCAATCTTGAACTGGAAAATATCCTGCTCTTTCTTGAATAAATCTGAGGTGACGTGTCCTCGGCTTCCGTTTATGATGCCCACTGGGCCCTCCTGAATAATTTCCTCTCAAGAGGCTTATTTTCTGCTCTAGTTTAGAATGCTACCTTATAAATAGACAAGCTTAACGTCACGTCGTCCCCTGAAATGGTAAGAAACTGGGTAAAATTCATGCCAGGAGAATTCTAACAACCTGACACTCAAGAAATAAAACCGAATAAAGCTGTTAAAACTCGCTTCTGAGGTAAAAGGTTTTATAACATGCTGTGCAGACACAGAATTTCCAAAGATCCCATCGAGTCAGCATTTATTTTCCCCTGGCTCTGGGTGCAATATGCATATAACTTCATTTGCATACATTAACATTCATATATTAACATTCCCATTAAACATTTCATGAGAGTTCCTTTTTTTACATACAAAAGCAATGCTCATGATTTTAAAAACTGAAACAGTATAAAAGGAACAATAAAACACCTCCTTGCCGACCCCCACCCCAGGCCACTCCTCAGAGGGCTGCTCTCAGGCCCAGACAGGACAATGAATCTGTGCATCCATTGGCCAGAGAGCAGGTCACATGATACCCCACCACCCCCACTGAGAGCATACCTGGATGAGGCTTTCCGTGACCTGCTCCCAGTGGGCCCAGACAGACCTCATTCTTTCCACCAGAGGCTCAGCCGGGCGTAGATGTGACATCATTTTTCACAGTCCCCCTCAATTTGGTCGTTTCCGGTTTTTTGCTTTGAGAAGCGAAGAACAGTCTTTGTAGAGACGCGCCTGGACGCACAGTGAGCAGGACCTCAGGATGGATTCCTTGAAGTGTGATCCAGCATCTCACATTCCACAGACAGGACCGGGTGCATAAGTTGACCTCCTACTGGGGACCATCAACCTTCCTCCAGTGGGAAATGGTGTCTTCTGTCAATTGAGCGTCTTTAATTATGATCAATTGAGCGTCTTTAATTATGACAGCATCGCTAACTCCTTAAGGGGAAACAGATAATAAAATAAAGGGCCCTCTGGCTTCAGCCCCTCCGTGTCTTAAGTTTTTCTCTTATTTTGAAATTTAGCCATTAAATCAGTGAACACTCATGAAATCTCAGAGTGACAAAAGCTACCCTGGGCCTTACCCCAAAGCCAGAAACCATAAAAGAAAACTTGATAAACTTGGCTATATAACAAGTTCAAAACTTGCGCACTGCTATGAAAACAAACAAGGGAAATCCCAAGTGACAAGAAAAATGAGAAATTGAAAAATAAATGTGATGCACACGAGGGAACAGTAGTGATGGACTAGCATTCTTAACAGGAACAGCTCTCAGGTAACAGAAAGACACACAGCCCAAAAGAAAAAGAAAAAGTGTGCAAAGAACACGTACAGGCAATTTTCCAAATGGCCAATAATAAAATGAAAAGATATTATCAGAGTAAGAGAAATTCAAATTAAAGTGATGAAAAGCTGTCTTACCCATGAGACTGCCAGAGACGGCAGAGAAGGAAGGCCCAGTTCAGGCCCACTCACCCACCCGAGGGCGGACAGCACCATGGCGGCGTTTCTGGAAGGCATTTTGGCAAAATGCATGCTAGCCTTTGGTCGATGGTGTCTTCTAGGAATTTACCCTGAGGAAATACTCAGCCGCTTCCAAGGACGTATCATCAATGGTGTTCATCACCGCACTATTTTAACTGTGAAGACACATGCCAAAATATTTACAGTCCATATTTCTGGGCTGTTAGGTTATTACTTAGATACATTTTTTCCAAACTTTTGATGATGAACAAGTATGACTCTTATAATGCAATAATACTGTTCATTAAAAACAATTCACTGAAGCATTAAGATAATGTTTTAATGGGTTTCTTGACACTTGGCCCCAAATTCCTCAGATAGTAAGACTACAAATGTGCCTTCTCATGCCTTATAGAAAAAAGCCCCTGGTTTTTTATTCTATCAAACCTCTGAGATTTTCCTTTCTTTTTTTTTCTTTTTTTTTTTTAATTAAATTTACTTTATATTTTTTTCTCAGTTACAGTTGACATTCAATATATTAGTTTCAGGTGTACAGCATAGTGGTTAGATATTTACATAATTTATGCAGTGATCCCCCCATTAGTCTAGCACCCACCTGGCATCATATGCAGTTGTTGCAACATAATTGACTATATTCTCTAAGCTGTACTTCACATTCTTGTAACTACTTTCTAACTACCAATTTGTACTTAATCCTTTCACATTTTTCACCTTGTTCCCCAACCCCCACCCCCGGCCCCCGCACACCCCCCGACACCCACAACTATTGGTTTGTTCTCTGTATCTATGAGTCTGTTTCTGTTTTATTTTGTTCTCTAGATTCCCTCTGGCATTTTCAAGGCAGAAAATGAACCCCCGGTCCACCCCCAGTTACATCTGGGTTATGGCCACAGAGGCCGCAGGGATAGACAAACGGACAGTGTCTGTGTCTTGCTCTGGATCAGTCCGGGTCCCAACTGGCTTAGCGCCCTGAGCAGCACCTGGATACCACAGGCCTTGGGCAAAGGTACCTGGACTGTTTGAATTATAAAACAAAACTGGAAAGGCGTTCAAGGCCGCCAGTTCAGTGAAGAGGCCAGAAACAGAGCCTGACTTGCCGCCCAGGGCAGGTCCTCAATGTGTTCCCCTCCCGCTTCCCCAACAGGCCAGGCATCCAGGACAGGTGGGAGGGCTCTGACATCCAATCCCTCCTGTTGGAACCAGGCTGCAGGTGTGCACTTGAGGCCAGTCCCCCAATTCCCTCGGACCCCACTCCGACCTCCAGCACCCGCACACTCTCAGATGCCCAGGACAATCTCTTGAGTGACTAAGGGAAGTTCTCCCAGGTCCTTACTGCTCGGAAGTTCTGGTTTCTACTAAACACAGGGCTGGCGCCCTGCTGCCCCGGGCGGCCCCGCTGCCCTGGGCCAGCTCCTCATCCATTCTCAGCCTCAGGTTCTTTATTTCTGAGTTTGGGGTGAGGCAGTAAGCCCAGACTCACGGAAGCATTCTGCAAAAGCAAGGGCAAACGCGGCTGGAGGCCTGGGCAGTCTCCTGGAGGGGAAGCTGACCCTGAAGCACTAAGCTTGGGGGGACCTGGGGACAAGGTGGGGAGGAGCGAAGGGGCCAGGTGGAGGGACTGGCCCCTCTCACCGCTGGGAGGCCGGGTTCAACCCGGAGCTCGGTGCAGACTCACAGCGCGAAACTTCACCTTCGCGGCCCCGAGAAGGAAGGAGACGCAGGCACGTTGCCAGGCACGCGGGGGACCCTAGACGTGCTGGGGCTTCTGGAGGCTCAGCGGCCCACGATCACGGCAAGGACATCCAGGATAAGGGCGCCATCGGCGCGCTCGCCTGCGACCCGCCCCTCCCGCCTCCGGGGTGGCGGAGGCGGGCGGGCGCTCGCCGGCCTCCCAGCGCTGACACGGCTCGAGCCCCCGAGACAGGGCGGCCGACGGACCCCG